AATTTATGCCCTGTACTCCAGTGTATTACTAGTTATTGCTTGAATGTATTGTTTGTATCCCACTCCTGCATGGGCCCGGGTAGGGCCTGCAGTATCTGTAAATAAAAAAAATAATTTGCGTTGCATTCGGGCAGATATTATCCTGATTTATGAGCGTGGGTGCGATTCTAGCCGCCTCGCCCCGCCGCGGTGGTCTAGTGGCTAAGGTACTCGGCTGCTGACCCGCAGGGCGCGGGTTCGAATCCCGGCTGCGGCGGCTGCATTTCCGATGGAGGCGGAAATGTTGTAGGCCCGTGTGCTCAGATTTGGGTGCACGTTAAAGAACCCCAGGTGGTCTAAATTTCCGGAGCCCTCCACTACGGCGTCTCTCATAATCATATAGTGGTTTTGGGACGTTAAACCCCACATATCAATCGATTCTAGCCGCCTCTGCGATTGCCCGGCAAAGTCTAGCTGAGCCCGCCTTCTCAACATTAAATCGACCCCTTGGACGAACGATAATTTTCCAGTGCTGGCTCGGCAGTCGAGGCATTCTCGATGATTTTGTAACTTTATTCTTCATATTTACAGCTTTTTCTGTAGCACTGAAATTGCCCCGGGCATTCCCACTGCACGCAGTGGCACGCTCTGTAGCACTGGCGTTCATGCGCCTTGAGCTTTTCTTCACCGCGGCGGAGCGCCAGCCGTGTTCTTCTCCAAACTGTTCCGAAGAGAGGTCCTTGTTGTCCATAATAACAGCTGCGCCGTCAAACATATGGGCTCAGCAGGTGGAACGAAGGGTGCGTTGCGTCCTGCCCGGTAGACGCCAACTCGGTGTTGTGGTTGTTGGCCCAAGCATGCGAGGCGTAGTCGGTGGCGTAAAAGTTCACAACTTGCTCCAAAACGGACCTATCGGTGAAAGTCCACTACCGACGGGAACCTTGGCAGCTTATGCATCATCTCGTAGCAAGAGCCTGAGGCAGAGCACACGAAAAACCACAAAAATCTTTTGCTTAGGCGGGAGCCCAAAGACCCCTGACTGCTCCGCTCTACGCCAACTGGCGTCTCCCCGATGTAACGATGGCGAAAGTTTTATCGGTGGGCTTTGTTGTGTTGCTTTTGGCAGATACTATCTCATGAGAGCTGACATACTTCTTCAGTGCGTCGAGCGACTGTGTCAACGTCATTGGGAGCATTGAAACAGTGTCTGGGTAAAAGCATTCTGTGGTTCTTTGTTCCATCTTTCCACTCAGCCAGTGAGTAGGAAGGCGTGAACGATAGTTATACGTATAGTGGTGTCATATACAATCACAAAACATGGAAGGCCGTTGCCCAGTTTTAATGGTAGAGGCCAAACAGCAGAGAAAGCTTATGAGGTATGAATTTTTTTATTGATTCTGTGAGTCCACTATTCCGGGGACTGAAGTAATGGCTTTGTACCAATTGATTGATTGATTTGTGGAGTTTAACGTCCCAAAACCACCATATGATTATGAGAGACGCCGTAGTGGAGGGCTCCGGAAATTTTGACCACCTGGGGTTCTTTAACGTGCACCCAAATCTGAGCACACGGGCCTCAACATTTCCGCCTCCATCGGAAATGCAGCCGCCGCAGCCGGGATTTGAACCCGCGACCTGCGGGTCAGTAGCCGAGTACCTTAGCCACTGGACCACCACGGCGGGGCTGGCTTTGTACCAAATGGTATTACTGTGCTGAGAGGTATTTTTCTTTAGCTAAGTTGTAAGTTCTGTGCCCGCTCGATTATGTCCACTATCAGAGTATCGAGGTTGAATACAATGCTATCTACTGTAACACACTATTAGCGCTGCATTAGCATTACTTGGTGGGAAAGCGGCAAAACTGACTCTATTTTCACTATTTATTCATAGCCTTAAGTATATCGTACATTCAGCGCTTCGTTGATGATTACAACATTTCCGATCGATGTATGGCGATTAACCATGCGTGTGGTTGTCAAGGCTGAAGACCATACCAGGTTAGCAACATAAATATCACTTCAAATGGTGACCGCAGGGTCCTCTACCTGTCCCAGTCATTTGAATGTGGTTACAGAAAATTAACTAGTCAAAACAGAATCACATTGATTGTGGGGCAGAGTATCATTACATACTGAGTGCGTCTTGCATTGCAAAGTGAGCTCATATTCAGCACACGCTTTAACATAGTTTCGAACATAGTTTTTGAAAGAATGACTGCATGTTGGATATCTACAACTTGTTTTTTTTTCATTTCGAACACGAAAGCCGGTTTCGCTGTCGTGATAAATATGTTTGACCAGGCACCAATCTTCTACAATATTTATACAACGTTATTTAGGCTTACGTTTTGTGTCAAGCTCAGAAAATAAAGCACTAAAAACGCCGTAGTCATAACCATGAGATTTTCATTCAACCATCTCACTACAAGTGTTAGTTGAAACTTTCAAGGTGAACCTATGAAAGAGTTATGCTGTTGAGAGCGCGAGGCATCAGAGGTCGCACGCGATTCAGTCGTCATAAAAGGAAAGAATTCGCAGTTTAGGCAGCAGGCCAGAACAAATAAATCGATAGCAACACATCGGAATTTTATACGAAGTAAAGATAGGAGATTTAGCAACCATACTAAATGTAGTGAACACGGTCAGTGGGCTTTGATCAGCAGCATTCCTCGCACGCGAAGCAGCACGTTATTCTTGTGTCCTGGCAGGCACTCAAGCCCGCTTTGCATCAGCGCGACTAGCATTATATTGGAGCTGTTCCGCAGGCGTTCGTACGACATGTGGCGGCATCCCAAAGGTCGAACTACATACAGTGTTTTAACCGAGGTTTGTACGGCATTTTATTTCTTGGCGTCAGTTGGCGTTGACGACAACTGGGACGGTAGCGAAAACCATGGTTTCAATGCACTACCCCAAAACATCTAACTCAGGTTGTCCCAGATATTGTAGTGTGGTCTTCGATGCTGGTAGTGGTGGGGGCAAACGATTTTATTTTTACAGACAGGTTCCCTGGGAAACAGCCCTCTGGTGGGTCAGCTTCCCTACAGTACTAAGTGGAGTTCATAGTAAGGAACCCTACTGGTCGTGGCCTCTGTCTCGGCACGCAGGACGAGGGTCTGTTTGGACGGAAGGTCCTGGCAACCGAGCAGGGCTGCCTCCCAGTCATCTCTGGTTGGATTTGGGTTCGGGAATAAAAAGGAGTGTGCTGGCATGCTCATACTGTGCGGCAGGTGTCTGTCACCTCAGCACAGTACTGGCAGAGGCCGGAAAAGGAAGACTCAAATTGTTTAAGCACTGCCGGAAACAGTAGCATATTGGTAAATAGATGGAGAAGAATTATCTCGTCCGCCTTCCTCAGTCCTTCGCAGGGCGGAGGAAAGCAGTGGTGGGAGTCCCGGTAATGCGTAAGTATTTCTCGACAAGTTAGGAGAAGAACGTTCTCTTCCGCATCACGGGGGTCACCGGTGGGCGAGGCAGTGGCCCGGGAAATGAGTGCGCGGGTGGCAGCGTGCGCCACTTCATTGTCAGCGAGGCCCTCATGGCCAGGAGTTCAGATTAGTGACCGGAGAGAGGGGTAACCTACCGCGACATGATTTATGAATTTTGGCAGCTAGGGGTGAGATCCGTCCTAGTGTATAATTTCGGCAAGCTCCTTTAGAGTCTGATGTAATTTGAGAACTGTCGTGTGATATAGCTAGAGCTATGGTCACCTCTTAAGCATGTGTAGCAGTAGGTGCGCGAAAGGAAAGACTGTCCGTGTGCCTGTCTTGGCGGACTAGGGTGGTCGTATACCAACCCCCGAAATAAGGGCCGGTAACGTCCGGGTAAAATATGTTTTCTTTAGGGCCGAAATTAACGCCAAAAAGCAAGAGCCCGTGCAGCTCGACAACCAGCATGCGACTGAAAGGACATATTGGTGGGGAGGGGTTGAACATGAATCACATATTTCTAATGTTTAGGCACTCGTACCCACTCCTCCTGACTAAGTTCGCCCCAGGCGCTTGTATTGATTTGTCAGGTGAGCCTCCCGAAGCTGTCGGCGGGTGTGTAACACTCCCAAGGCAAGAAGTTTTGCATTAGAAGTAGTGATCGGGCGATCTAGGGCACTCTGAACAATTTCGAAGATGGGGACCTCCAAAGAATCTTCATAATGCTTCCCTAAGTGCAAGTATGAAGTCGCATACAAGATGCAACTAGTTGAGAAAGCATGTGCGAGACGAAGCGCGCCATTACTTTTGAGACCTACCCGCTTGTTGGAGACTCAGCGGTTCTTGCGGCCCACCTGTTATACAACCTTACGCAGCTTGTAATGTGCTGTGTTGACCCTGCAGTATTTGTAAATGTGAAGAAGCAGCGGTATGTCGAGAGAAGCTTGCTTGTTTGTTCGTTGATATATGGCTCCCCCTAACCACAAGGAATTCCCCATAAAACCGTCAGTCCAATAAAGAAAGTTTTAATTTCAAAACAGATGAACTGTAGCTGTCTCATTTCTCGAGCTGCATAGCTACAAGCGAGACAAACTTATTGACAATATGGCAGTCGTGAATATATATATATATATATATATATATATATATATATATATATATATATATATATATATATATATATATATATATACATATATATATATATAGTTCACCGTTAGATAGACAGATAGCTTAGCGGTTCGTCCTAATTTTTTACCGCAGCGCGCTGACAAACGAGTGATTGCTGGTGCGAATCCCCGGTAGGTGCCTTGAAATTTTTTCTTTCATTTATTTTTTGGTGACTTTTATGTATGTATACACACATATACTTATCCGGAGCATGAAGGTACGGCAAAAATCAGCCGAGAGCATCCATATCATTGCTATCGCATTAAAATAGGATGAATCACTAACTTTTTCTCAGGACTTGTGACAAGGCTGGCACATAGATGGAGATTATTTGCTTATTTGCTCGTGCAAGAGTGAGCAGTAAAAGTAGAAAAATATGTGCAGCTTCAGCAATATATTCGAAAATACGAAAGGTAATACTTACAGCCCAGCCATCCTGATATTGGGCCAAGTGATCGGATAATTCTGAATAGGAGACATTGAAAGATTTGCTCAGGGTATTAGCCAGTGACACCGTACTTTTCACTGAAAGAACCAAGAAGTAAAATGTGACTTGATGCTCCATCATTTAGGGTATGTTTTGTTCTGAGCATACTCCTGCTTTTATAGTTGACGTCTGCAGTTTTGGAAAGTCCAGCAAGTGTACATGACGAGAAATGAACTTCCTGCTTCATTAAGTGTCTATTGTCTAAAGTTCGCATCTGACTCACTTCTGCGGAGCTCACCGCCAACTTCGATGATGTGAAAAGAAGAAAAAGAAAAAGAATACCAATGCTGCCACTGAGCGTCTACATGTTTGGACAGTTCGGTCACATATTTTACTACTTCGCTTTTATTTTACGTTTGTTTTGTTTAGGACCAGTCTCTTGTACAGATTGTTGAGTATGTTTTGCCTCCAATGCCATCACTGTGCTTTCGAGATATTTTAGCTTGCAGTGACAGGTGCGTTACAGCGTGTCACGGTCATGGTGCTGCTAAGTGCATAACACATTTCGTCAACGTGTCGGTTCTTGTGGAAGTGGACAATCTTCAGAATTGAAGCGGAATGTTCGAAGCGCTTTTAGGTGCTCTAGGGAGCTGTTGAGGGGGGGGGGGCAGAATTTCACCCGTGAGTTTGATCGCATGGAAGTATTCAGTATTTACATGTTCATGCGCTTCACTGTTGATTATATTTGCTGGGCGCACCAAGCCAGCTATGAAAAGGAGCTTTTAGGAAACCGTTCCGCACATTCGATGTTGTTCAAACGTGTTATAGTGATTAACTGTTGGTGCGGCCCCATACAAGAGGCTTGCCGGCACGGGGTTCCTGAAAGCTTGCAAACGAAAGTGTCCCGCTTGACAGGTGTCCAGTTACATCGTAATGTGGTAGCGTCTGCCGCGGAAAGCCTTCTCAACAAAGGGAAGTAAAGAAACTGATTTCAATTTTGAGAAAAAAGTAGTTGGATCTACCAAACGTGGTTTTGTGATGCCCGGGCAAGGAAATTACTGAACAGCGCCCCACTCACGGTAATATTTCATATGGACATGTGTCTATGCTATGATATAAGCACTGCAGAAAGTGTGGTGCAATAAACTCCAACGCTAACCCGAAAAAGAATACAGGTCAATCCGTGTCAATACAGAATAAACGACAATATTGCACCTCGATAAAATGTTTCGGTAGGGAGGTTTTGGAGACCAGATTTCTAGGCCCTCAAAACTCGTTTTGTAGGTACGTGATCTAGGCTAGCAGAACTCGTGGCTATGAACGTCGCAAAAAAAAACACACACACACACATTAACCAACACCAACTCACCCAACTGTCAGTGCCTTTGAAGCAGAACTCAGTTTTATGCCCCTAAAATAGTAAATATAGGTACAATGAAGTTTCAAAAAATTTTAATTTTTAAAGAAAAACATGCTCATACTGCTTCTTAGAAAAACGGAAGAACGTTAGATTTTTTCATCACACAAGGGTGCCAATAGTAAAACATAGCCATGCCATTGGCTATGTTAATTTGGCTATGTGGGCTCAGTGGCTGTGCTTCAGCGCAGACCACTGATCCGTTGTGCGTAGCCATGCAGGTACACGGTTTCTTGATCCGGAAGTCATCTGCCCGCAATCCTGTCGTTTTCTCAAGCCACCGCCATCCCAAGAGTCTACCGCAGTCAGCCCGGCGCAAGCCCTCCGCAGGGGCGCCTGCGCAAGTAGGCGTTTGGTGTGTAGCGACACCACGGACCCGAACTAACGGGGGAGTTTTGACTGCCTCCCACGCCTAGCCGTGCGTGGCTTTGCCGTGTCCGGGGAAAAGATCCTGGGGGTTGAGGCAATGCTGGGTGATTGGACCTTTAAGGCCCCCCGGCAGAGGCAACACACCCCTTTGGCCCCGACTTCACGTAGACGGCACCCCTGGGCTGACCCACCCAGGGGAAATCGGCAGTCGCCTTTTCCTATCTCTCTCTGCCTACAACTTCGTCTTTATCTCTCACTATCTATCTGTCCTGTCTTCTACTTTCTTCTATTTACCTCCAATTTTCCTGGCGGCAAGGGTTAACCCTGTGCAAATAGCCTACCTTGGTCTAGGCGCATTGGGTTATGGCAGTGTTGTACGGCTGACGTCTGCAAGCTTTCAGCACCTGCAAACTTGCAGCGTCTCCTTGTTGGGCTCCGTGGTGGGTGGCCGCCAACGCTGCTGAACAAAAATAAGACCGGCATGCATGGAGCACTCCCTCAACTGTCTGATCGTACCGGCTTAAAGCGGGTACGCACCGACGACATAAATTTCTTCAACCAGCCAATAGAAACTTTTCCCATTTTCCACGGCATTCACTGTGAAAAAAACCGGAAAGCAAGCCAGGACCGTATCTCCTTTCGTAGTTGCCAGGTGTCTTACTGAAACTCTCGGGGCTGGATACAAGGTAAGCAAAATGGCTAGCGGAGACCTTCTTCTCGAAATTCGGGACAAAGCACAATTTGTAAAGCTAGACAGCCTCTTAACGTTTGGTGTCGTACCGATTACCGTAACACCACACAGATCTATGAACATCACTCGCGGAGTGGTATCTGATGCAGACTTACTTGAACTCACACTTCTGGAAGGGTGGAAGAGCCAAAATGTCAATAATGTACAGAGAATTATCATCAGAAGAGATCATAAGGAAATAAGAACGAAACACTTAATACTTACGTTTGCATCCAGTAAACTACCAGATTCCATTCAAACAGGGTACACAAAGACATATATTAGGCCGTATATACCAAACCCTTGTCGTTGCTTCCAATGCCAGAGGTATGGCTATGCTCTAAAACCTGTCGTGGTCGCCAGACTTGTGCGCAATGTGGAGTCCTAGGCCACGTGTCTGAGAACTGCAAACAACCGCCACACTGTGTAAACTGCGAAGGAAACCATGCCACATATTCACGCTCCTGCACATACTGCAAAAAAGAAAAAGAAATAATTACATTAAAGGTGAAGGAGAACATATCATTTAAGGAAGCACGGCGAAGAGTCGCTCCATTTTATGGACCTACATACGCTGATGCGGCGCGTCAGGGGGCGCCGCCGCAGCAGCCCTCGCCACTCCTTCGGCCCGCGCATACCGAGCCGGCGGTTGTGGCACCTGCCCCTAAAGCGGCTGTAGCCCAGGCTACACCGCCTACTCCCAAACAGAGACCGGAGACTCCAGAGTCTTCGGGTCTCAAGGCCTCCCCTCACCAGGCGAGGCCCGAAATCCGAACTAACAGCCCGCACGTGCGGGCATCCAGTGCCTCCGAGGAGGCAATGGATACGTCGGCACCCTTGGTGCCGAAAGAGCGGCGTGGCTCCTTGGAGCACGCCAAGAAAACAAAAAAGCAAATAACAGGGCCTGGTGACGTCCCTGTTAGGTGAACTCAAACTCCCCGTCTAAACAGCCACTCGCTTTTCGTACACACAGCATTATTTTACATTCACCATTAACACTCAAATTATACAATGGGACGTCAGGGGCCTTCTCAGAAACATTGACGACATCCAAGAACTCTTACACGAACACTCACCAAAAGTGCTGTGTGTACAAGAAACACACCTTAATTCAAAACACACAAGTTTTCTTCGTAAATACGTTATTTTTCGAAAGGACCGTGATGATGCCATGACATCATCCGGAGGTGTTGCCATCATAGTGAATCAAGGAATTGCATGCACACACTTACACCTCCAAACATCTCTCGAGGCAGTGGCTGTTCGAGCGATTCTTTTTGATAAACTGATCACAATCTGCACTATTTATAATTCCTACTAGCTATCAGCTGCCAAAACGTCATTTACACTCTTTAATTGATGAACTTCCGGAACCATATGTTCTCCTTGGAGACTTTAATGCGCATAGCAGGCTATGGGGTGACTCTCGGTATGACGCGCGAGGTCGACTGATCGAACAGTTCCTTCTCTCGTCGAGCGCATGTCTCCTAAATTGAAAAACCAACCTATTATAACCTCGCCATTAACACCTACTCCTCCATAGACCTAAGCATAGTATCTTCATCCCTTGTGCCTCTACTCCAGTGGAAAGTCGTCAGTAATCTGTACGGAAGTGACCACTTCCCCGTAGTTTTGAGCACAAATACAGTAACTGAGTGTCCACCACGTGTTCCCAAGTGGCTCATAAACAGAGCCGACTGGGAACAGTTTTATACCATCGCTCGTCTAGGTTGGAATGACATATGTACTTTGAACATTGATGTTGCTGTCAACTTCTTCACAGCGTTTTTGATTGATGCTGCAACAAAATGCATCCCACAAACAACTGGACACCCTCGAAAACGGCGTGTGCAATGGTGGAACTCTGAATGCCGAAACGCGCGCAAACAGCAAAATAGAGCTTGGAGGCTGCTTCGGAACTCACCGACATCCGAAAATCTTAACACCTTCAAGTAAATAAAGTCTCAAGCTAGGAGAACGCGTCGGCAGGCCAGAAGAGAAAGCTGGCAGAAGTTTTTGTCAGGGATCAATTCATTCACACAAGAGGCCAAAGTCTTGAACATGGTCGGTAGGATAGCAGGGAAACAAGTACACACACTTCCACTCGTAAACACTCAAGGTGATACCTTGGAAGATCAGGCAAACTTCCTCGGGGCACATTTTGAACGGGTATCCGGCTCGTCCCAAAATACTGACACTTTCCAAAAATACAGAATAAGAAAAGAAAAACAGAAACTAGAACACACATCCACTAGACACCAGGCATACAACCAAGCTTTCATTCTAGCTGAGCTCCGAACGTCTCTAAACTCCTGCAGTACTTCTGCCCCAGGTTCTGACCAGTGTGGTGTATGAAATGTTAAAAAACCTACCAGCCGAAACACGAAAAAGCTTACTTTGTTTTTACAATGCTATCTGGTTTTCTGGCAATATCCCTACCTACTAGAAAGAGGCTATTATTATTCCATTTTGAAAGAGGGCAAGGACTCTTCTTTAGCTTCAAGTTATAGGCCTATTGCACTTACAAGCTCCTTGTGCAAAGTATTCGAAAAAATGATAAACTGCCGATTTGTACATATCCTTGAAACAAACAATTTGCTCGACCCATTGCAATGCG